GGGTGACCCGCCGCCGCCGCCGCCGCGTGGGTTTGGTCGGCTTGTGAGAAGGATTTTTCCGACGTTTGATGCTTTGAATACGAGGTGGGGAGAGACGCTTAAAAGGGATCTCGGCTTTTGCTGTGACCAAAAAAAAAAAAAAAAAGTTTGTAGCCTAGTTGCAGCGAAAAGCTGGGATATGTTGCCCGAAAGCAGAAGGCAAATAAAAGCGGCTTTAAAAACCTGTGTTTTGGTTATATCTCACCCAGGTTGGGGCTAGAGGTAGTATCACTCCTGACCCACATTCCCATGTACTTTCCATCTAGGTTTTTTTTTTCAACATTTTCAACATCTCTATTAAATACCTTTGGATTTGTCTTTTTTGATCTCCTGCAACACAACGCTGCCGGTACCAGGGGCTGGGGCGTGTTCCTGGCAGGGGCCTTCTCCCTTGGTGATGGCGAGCCAAGATGGGTGGGGGGCAGCGGGGCCTGGTGGTCCCCGGGTGTCACCCCCCGCCATCAGCTTTGGTCCTGCCCGCACGTTGTCTCTGCCAAAGAATTTTACAGATGGGTCGTACGGGCGCAGCACTGTGTGTGTCTTCATGAATTTCCGCGTGTGGAGTTGCGTCCCGTGTGTGTGTTAAGGTTCAGGCCCTGTGCGCGACCCGCTGTCAAAGCCCTTTTTTATCCTGAAGCCAGTGGTTCTCAGGCTGTGGTCCGTGGATCCCTGGGGGGGGTCAGCTAAGGCTTCAACCAGCGGTGGGGAACATCCAGCCCAGAAACGTTTGGTCTGGCCCGGGGCAAGCGGGAATCGCTGCAATAAAGGTATTGTAATAGGAGTGTGTGCATTAACAGATCCATTTATTTCCCCTTCTCTCCCAATTTGAAGACGCTTCATGAGAAAATTGAAATAAATATTTGATGCAGTCTGGTGCTTTATGTCTTGAATTAAGTCTTGGTGGTCTGCTAGAAGACACCGAGTATCAGCCCTTGTTTTCTTTTTCGTCTTTGTCACCTGGAAGAAGATAAAAATGCCGTTGGTTCTTCCAGAGCGAAGCACGGCCAGCGGTTGTTATTGCGGTGCTGGCTGCGGGTTGTTCCCCTGCCTGGGCAGTGCTGGGGATGCCCGAGCCGGGCAGTGGGGCAGGCACGGGGTGCTTGGCTCCTGCAAAGGCCATTTTATTTATTATATATTATTTAGAAGTTTGCTGGAAGGAACTGTTGTCTGGTGCATATTTCACGAGTACTGATATTTGTTATGTTGGTTCTGATTTTTTTTTTCCTTCTTTTAAGTAATTGGCTTGTAGTTCTAGTGTTTTAGACTGAAATAAAGAAGGCTGTGTTTTCAGTTGGGCAGCTCCTTTGTTTCTTTAGTAGTCGTCGTCTTTTTTTTTTTTTTTTTAAGTTGCAATCACTTATGTATTGATTGCACAGTAAGGAATTGCTTTGATGCTTTGCAGAGAACTGCACGTAGTTCTTTTGCAGCAGTGTTTATGTTATTCGCCTGTTGGCCTTTGCAATTTGCTCAGAGACCTATTAATTAGGGGTTGTTTTTTTTTATGACAGACACTTTTAGGCCTCTTGCATATTTTTCTTTTGAATCTTGTCCCCAGCTATATTTCTTGGGCAGCGTGCTCCAGAGCTGCGGTATGCTGTTTATTCTTAGCGTGCCTTGTTTAGGAAGAAAAGGATGGTTGTTTTTTTTCTAAGTCAGGCTGATGTTTCATGTACTCAGGCACTGCACACACGGGTGAGTATTACTCATGTGAGCAGCCGAGCTGGGATTAGCTCACAAAAATTGAAGAAGAAAAAAAATTGAATCAGCTCCAATGTCCAGTTATTGCAGCCAGTCTCTCCAGCAGTGGGTGGAAGGTGGAAAGTATGTGCAGCACTCTTGTAAGCAGATAACCTGGCTGTCACCTTAGCTTTTTTCCTAATCCTTAATAAAGACTGGTTTGCAACCACAGCTGGAGGTCTGCCTCTCTTCCAAAATTCACGTCATGTGTAACTATTATAGTTCCGGCCATTCTTACTGTCCGTAGGAATACTCACGCCCTGTCAACATCACTGCATTTTTGGCCTCTCCACTTCATTGTGGCAGTAAAAGCCACAGTTTCATTATGTGCTGTGGGAGAAAAAGGTTTTCATTCTCCCATTTCTGGATTTGCCACTTTTTAATTGGCCTCAAAATAAGTTGCTAGGTGTGAGAAGGGTAGGGGAGCCGAGTTTTAATTTTCTCGGGTTTTTAATTTTCTTGGGTTTAGTTATTCCTAAAATGTTGTGTTTTGCTTTATAACCATATGAAACACTAGTTAATTAAAAACCCCCAGCATTTATTGTCAGTAAATATTTGCCCACATTTTCGTATTTATGTATATTTAAGCAATAACTGGGAGCAAGGGAGCTGGCTACATGCATGTGACGTTCACTTCTAAACATGAAAGAAAATTCAGAGAGAGTATTTATATCTCAAATATTTATATGAAGAAATAAGGCCTTGTGGTGACCGTAATTCTCACATGGTCTTACAGCATTTGACAGGATCTTTTTTTTTTTTTTTTTTTTACTTCCAAAATGTGCCTCAAATTATTGTTTCCTTCCCTGCAAGATGTGGCAGGGCTGTGAGGAACCCTGTGGTGGCTTCTAGTAACTGATGATGCTCTTGCTTGAAGAGTGAGTGTGGATATGCTGCAGGTTGGCTAAATGGCATAATGCACCCTGGTTATTATCTGGTTATCTCCAGCTGAAAGTAGGAGACAGCCCCTTTTGCAGCTGGCAGGAGCTCTCTGCACCCACAAATCCTGTCCGCCTTCCAGCTCACGCCAACCCCAGGAGTGGGTCTGGTGGCAATCAGGGCATCCAAGGAGGTCTCCTGTGCGTGATGGTGGTTTTGGAGGAGGATGGGTTTGTCAGCCCCTTTAGCTATGTGGTCAAGCTTAAAAATAAAATATAGTTGTATTTGCTGTCAGCTGGCCAGTGCTGCCTGTTGTGCAGGTGATGGCTGTGCTCCTCCCATGGGGAGCAGAGGTCTGCCATCCGTTCGATAAATCGAGGGGTATCGTAGTTCTCTGGTGTCTAAGAGGAGCAGGCACTTGACTTTTCCTCCCTGTGGCAGAGGGCTGGTGCAGACCTCGCGCTCCCCCCAGTGATGCTCACGCACATGGAGAGGTTTGGTTGCTCCTTGCAGTTCCTGGGTGGACACATCGTGCACGGTCAGTACCCCAGATAGTCACAGGTGGCCGATGCCACCTTCCCCATTACCATTTTCGCAGCTGTGGGGAGGCCACAAGACAGAGCTGGAAGTGCAAATACAGATTTCCAGATCTCCTCCTTCCACAGTAATAGCTGTTACTAAATGCTACCCAGAGCAAGGTGCCTTTCCGTGCCCCTGTGTGGGGTTGCTCCTGGTTGTGTCCTGGCCAGCCCTTCGCCCAGGCCACCCCGATGTCCAGCGGGGCACACGGGCTGCAGCGGGTCCGTCTGCGGCTGAGCTGCCACAAGGTGACAGTGTTTCAGAGCAGTAACTGCGCTGCCTCTCTACCTTCTGGGGGTTTGGTTTGCTGGGCATTTTTTTTTTTTTTTCCCCCAGCGTGCAGAGTGAAGCCCTACTATCGCGAAATGCTAACCGAAAGCTTTGGGGACCATCACCCTTCTGCAGGGGCATAGCTGGGGCAGACCCGAAACCTGCCGCGTCCCCCTCCCCAGCCACCCGCTGGTCTCCAGGCCCCAGTGCCCGGCCAGATGCTGACTTGCTGTTTGCAGGGAGCCACCCGTTACAGCAGTGTCAGAATCGGAACGTTTTGCTTACAGGTGCCATGGGTGGAGCCAGGGATCCTGTCTGTCACCGCTCCCTCTGCTCGTCCAGCCACGGTGGGTGTAGGGGCTCCTCTCTCCTGGCTTGCAAAGGGAAAATCTGACATCACCTCAGGGTCCACTTGCCAGCAGCAGGTCACAGAGTGCTTTGCTTTCCTCTCCAAGGAGCTCCTGTGGCACTGCCTGGCTCTGCTGGGCTTCAGAGACAGGGACCACAGTGAGCATCCTCTGCCAGCAGATCAGAGCTAAGTGCTGCTGAATGGCTTTGCTTTCCCATCACGAAAGGCGTGAAGGGTCCCGGGAGCTGGTTGTGGTGTCTGAGCTTTAACGCAGAGCTCTTTGTGCACAGCCATCACACCACGAGCTGCAGGCTCACCTCAATAATCCCAATTACGCTTTCGTACCTTGCTGTGATCCTCAGACATCTTCAAGGCCAATGCATTTGTTTCATTTGCGGGGCTGTTTGAACTTAACTTTGGAAAAGATGGCACTTGAGTCATGTTTGGCTTCATTCTTCATCCTCCTTAGTGGAAGCG